GTGTATTTTGATAGGTATGTAATATGTTGTATGTGTATTTTGATAGGAATGTAATATGTTGTATGTGTATTTTGATAGGTATGTAATATGTAGTATGTGTATTTTGATAGGTATGTAATATGTTGTATATAGTATGTAAAAGTTTAAGAAAGAATGAACAAAACTTACAGCATGAGCAATCTGATCTGATTTCAGTCCGTCAAGATGTTTACGTTCTGGAGTATTATTTTTACAAACACCATATTGAGGCTCCGTCCAACATTCAGTAACAATCTGTATTTCTCCGTCAGCCTCCATAGTTTCCATTTCTTCTTCATCATCTTCGGATATGCTAAAAAATAATATCACACAATATATCAGATACAATCAGATACAAGATCTATAGAGTACCTCTGATACGTTACAGAATAATATATCACAATATATCAGATACAATTAGATACAAGATCTATAGAGTACCTCTGATATGCTACAGAATAATATATCACAATATATCAGATACATTTAGATACAAGTTCTATAGAGTACCTCTGATATGCTACAGAAAAATATATCACAATATATCAGATACATTTAGATACAAGTTCTATAGAGTACCTCTGATATGCTACAGAATAATATATCACGATATATCAGATACATTTAGATACAAGTTCTATAGAGTACCTCTGATACGCTACAGAATAATATATCACAATATATCAGATACATTTAGATACAAGTTCTATAGAGTACCTCTGATACGTTACAGAAAAATATATCACAATATATCAGATACATTTAGATACAAGTTCTATAGAGTAACTCTGATACGTTACAGAATAATATATCACAATATATCAGATACATTTAGATACAAGTTCTATAGAGTACCTCTGATACGTTACAGAAAAATATATCACAATATATCAGATACAATCAGATACAAGATCTATAGAGTACCTCTGATACGTTACTGAATAATATATCACGATATATCAGATACATTTAGATACAAGTTCTATAGAGTACCTCTGATACGCTACAGAATAATATATCACAATATATCAGATACATTTAGATACAAGTTCTATAGAGTACCTCTGATACGTTACAGAATAATATATCATAATATATCAGATACATTTAGATACAAGTTCTATAGAGTACCTCTGATACGTTACAGAATAATATATCACAATATATCAGATACATTTAGATACAAGTTCTATAGAGTACCTCTGATACGCTACAGAATAATATATCACAATATATCAGATACATTTAGATACAAGTTCTATAGAGTACCTCTGATATGCTACAGAAAAATATATCACAATATATCAGATACAATTAGATACAAGATCTATAGAGTACCTCTGATACGCTACAGAATAATATATCACAATATATCAGATACATTTAGATACAAGTTCTATAGAGTACCTCTGATATGCTACAGAAAAATATATCACAATATATCAGATACAATTAGATACAAGATCTATAGAGTACCTCTGATACGCTACAGAACAATATATCACAATATATCAGATACAATTAGATACAAGTTCTATAGAGTACCTCTGATATGCTACAGAACAATATATCACAATATATCAGATACAATTAGATACAAGATCTATAGAGTACCTCTGATATGCTACAGAACAATATATCACAATATATCAGATACAATTAGATACAAGTTCTATAGAGTACCTCTGATATGCTACAGAACAATATATCACAATATATCAGATACAATTAGATACAAGATCTATAGAGTACCTCTGATACGCTACAGAATAATATATCAATAGAATTAGGTAATGACACAATCAGCAAAATTAAAATCAAGTAAACACATTCAACAACTCGCATGGAAATGTTCAAACAAGTGGGATCAAAATCAAAGATCTGAAAAGGTTACCTCATGTAAAGCTATCCATGACTATACATAATTTCTTTTCTTAAAGTACAGATTAAGATATGATTAATACTGACCTTTCTCTGGTTGTTTTAGTGTGAGGTGGAAATATTACATATTGTACAACACATTTACAACAATTATCATCTTCATTGTTATCATTGGTATCACCATCCTGAAATATATCAAAATACATATCACTTTGATACAATGTGCGTTTTAAAAATGAGTTGGAAATTGAAAAAGAGTCAGTTAATATTTTTGTCTTGACAAAATTTTCTCAATTGCACACTGCAAAGATTCATTTTAATACAAAGTATATTTTGGAGAA